GAGCCGCTGCAAATCCTGCCTGCTAACAGCTATGCAAATTACCTCATTAGTTGCCTTATTTATTTTCTCTGGCATCACGTTTTCAGCATTTCCCCGAGTCCCGGAGGCTGTGGGTCCCCGGGGCTGGGAGGAGGCAGGGGCGGCAGCGGCACCCGCACGCAGGGCTGGTTGTGTTGAGCCTTGCTCTGCGGATGGCAGTGGTGTTTGGCTCCCATGGAGCCGCCCGCCCCGACATGATGTGTCTGGGACCAGGGGCTCCCCTGGCTTCCTGCTGTTGGGATCTCCCCCTCCTCATCCCTCGGCGTGCCCTGGCGCTGGGGTGAGCCTGGCTGAGCCATCCCTCCAGCCAGGAGCTACCCCGTCCCCGCCAAGCAGCCGTGGGTCTGGCATTGCTGGGATGTGTATGCCCTCCATCCCCCCAAAAAAGGTGACTGCTGGATTGAGGTATAGAGAGAACAGGGCATCTGCCCAGTCCCTGTGGACCTGAGTGGTGGCTTGAGGCTTGGCACAGGGCTGCAGATGCCCTGCATCCTTTCCACCATGACTGCCTTTCCTCGTTAATGGAAAATTGTCTCCTTCCCACTCTGATTTCCATTCCTCATTAATGGGAATGTGCTTCCTTCCCACCCTGATTTCCCTTCCTCTTTGATGAAGATGTTGTTGGCTGATGCTGTTGCAGGGGTCTTCCCTCTGCCAGCCTCAGGACAACCCCAGAGAGCCCCCACATACCCAGGTCAGGGTGGCCCTGGGCTGGAGCCCTGCTCTGGTCCTGGCCCTGGGGCGTGTGGCCCGGGCTGAAACACTTGGAAGCCCGGGCACCATCCAGGGCTGACACAGGTGGGAACGGCCCCCGAGCACCAGCCCAGCATGGTGCCCCTCAGGGATGTCATGTCCCAGCGTGTCCCTGCCCATGCTGGGCATGCACACAAGCATGTAGCTGCCTTCAAGGATGGCTGTCTCCTGGATGTGTTTTCCAGGGGTGTTCACACGCCCACGATACCTGTGATGGTGGGACAGGCTTTGCACGGGCACCAGGGGACCCACGTGCAAGTGCCAGCCCTGAAGACCTTGATCCAGCCACCCCACGGGCTTGTCTGTGCCACGCCAAGCTGCCTGCAAGCATTGTGTCTGCTCCCCTCCTTCTGTTTATCTTTTATTTTTCCCCTTCTCTTCCCTGCTGTGCTAATGAATATTGCATGGCCGAGAACCAGCATGAATCCCCCCCCCCGGCTGCTCCCC